TTTCCTCTTCTACTGAAAAGCTGGTTTCGTAATCAGACAGCCATGCAGATTGTCTTCATGATCTTGGAGCCTGAACTTCAGTTGAGGAATCAATGTGTTCTCAATTAGAAGCTGATATGTGTATTTCTTCATCACTAGTTGCCATTTCATGTGATGTAGATTTTGCATTTTCATTGACTAGGTCAACTGTGACTGCTTCATTTTTCCAATCCAGAACTTAAGTTTTGCTCATTTCTGTGTTTTCGTTCCAATTTTAGCTTTTGTCTTCTTCAAACACCACGTCCTTGCTCACGATCACGCATCTTGTAATACGATCAAATAGTTTGTATGCTTTAGATTCGTCACTTACACCCAGTACAATACACGGGTGACTTTTGTCATCAAGCTTGCTTCTCTTTTAATATGGAATGTGCACGTAAGCAATGCAATCAAACGTTTAAAAATAATCAACTTGTGGCTTGATTCCGCTCCATATCTCCTATAGGGTTCGCTGAACAATGGCAGAAGTGAGACTTCTATTTTGAACATGTTTACACCAATGCACTGCCTCAGGCCACAAGGGTTTTGGAACCTGCTTGTCGTGTAACATAACTCGTACAATGTTCATGATGGTGCATTTCTTGCATGTCACAACTCCATTTTGTTGAGGGGTATATGCAGTCGTTAATTTCTTACTAATGTCTTGTTATATGCAAAAGTTCTCAAACTTCTTGGATGTGAATTCACCACTGCAATCTGTTATGAGACAGGTGATGTGGGTGTTGGCTTTCTTCTCAACACAAGCATTAAAACTCTTGAATGCAGTGAAAGTTTCAGATTTTTCATGTAAAAAAAAATAGACCCTAGTTTTACATGAGTAATCATCAATGAAGTTTAACATGTATCTTTTGTTGCTATTTGAGGCAGATGAGATGAGACCACAGACGTCGACATGAATCAGTTGAAGTTTTGCTAAAGCTCTCCATGAACTTTACTTTGGTATAATGTCTCTATGTTGCTTGCTTACAAGACAGGTAGTGCATAGTATTTGAGAAAGTTTCATTCCTGGCAGATCGATCATCATTTGCTTATTCGCAAGTATGTTTAATGCTTTAAAATGAAGATGTCCAAAGCTTCTGTGCCATAGTTATGTTTCCTTGTTGGTAACATCGTCAGTTTGAAGGCACATGAGAGGTTGAGAAGTCATTGAAGTTGTTAGATAAAACATTCGGTTGCCTTTCATGTTGGCGTGAAAGATCAGTCATCGATCTGGATGGTATATTTTGAACGTATCATTTTGAAATAGAATAGCTAAAACTTTCTCTTGGAGTTGCCTTAGACTTAAGAGATTGGTCTTAAGCTCTGGAACATAGTAAACAACGGTGATGACATGAGTAATGCCATTTTTGAACCTGAATGCTATCTTTCGTAGTGACAACCATTGTTGTGTTGTTTTCGAGTTTAACAGTTCGACTAAATCCCTCTTCTTTCACTTCTGTGAACCAACGCTTGTTTTTGGTCATGTGATTGTTGCAGCCAGAATTCAAAAACCAATCTTCTTCTTTGATAGATTGTGTCGTCTCTTCAAAATGTTACTAGTGACAGTTCATCTTCTGCTTCTGTTGATTCGTCAAATGTTGCATAGTGAGCCTTCTTTTCAAACTCAGGACGTTTGTACTGAAAGTGGTCGAACTTGTGACATTGAAAGCATTCAATGAATTCTCAGTTTAATGGTTGTCGTCCTCGACCACTTTCACGACTACGACTGTTTCTACGACCATGACCACAACTTGTTCCAGATCGATCATCATGAGTTATTTTCAATACTTGTTCGTCTGCTTGAAGACTTTGCATTCCTTGTTCATGGACGAGTAAACTGCCATGAAGTTCATCTATGCTGAGGGCACTTAAGTTGTTAGACTCCTCAATGGAACATCACACGTAGTTGAATTTTGCAATTAATGATCGAAGTGTCTTGCTAACTATCATGCTAGAATATACTTTCTCACAGTTTGATTTCATCTTGTTAACAATACTGAGAGTTCATCCTAGGTACGTATCTACTTTCTCCCCCTCTTTCATGCTTAAAAGCCCAAACTCGTGGCGTAGTGCTTGAAGCTGGGCACGTTTTACTCTCGTGAAGCCTTGATACTTCTTCTGCATGGCTTGCCAAATTGCCTGTGATGTACTTTTGTCTAATATGGTTTCCAAAATATCTCGATCAATAGCTTGGAATAGATAATTCTTTACCTTTAAAATCCTTTAGATTGACCTCAACCACACTCTTGCGTTGAGCCTCAGTGGTTGTGGCTCTAAGTACTGGTATGTCCTCTTGTACGAGCTACCACAACTCTTTGCTTCGTGAGAAGTTTTCCATCGTTATGGACCAGAAGTCATAATGGTCATTGAACCTTGATATGACCGGTTGCACAAACTTATATAAGATAACATCCTTTTCACGCACATTGTACTCTCACACTTGGATGTTTTGTGGTTCTCTCATAACACCCTATACTCACACTCACACTCTGTACCAGACCCCTTATGAAGCTCTAGTACTAATTGTAAAAACTCAGGATATACAAGACACGAAAATGAGGCAATAAGAACATGTCTTATTCAATAAATAGAGGTAGCTTATATAAGTCTTTACAACAACTGTAAAATTAAAAGTGTCGTACTGCAAGACAATAAAATAGACATGTAAATAAAACAACCATGTAACACTAGTTCAATCCTATAAAGCGGGGAACTTTATGAGCACGTGATAAACAAAACTTAATAACTTAACATAAAATAAATGCAAGTGAAAAAAATACAACAATTCTAATAGGGATACTTTTTAAAGTTTTATATTTTGGTTTATTTTACAATTTAGTTTTTATATTTTTTACAATTTATAATTTTTGTTAGAAAGTCTCGAGATTAAGTTTCACATCGTATAATAATGAAAAAGTTAAATAATATATAAAAAAATCTATAATTTAATGTCTTAAGGTTTTAGGTTGAAAATGATATTAATTCTTTGTATACTTTAAACTCATGTCATATTAATGTTGTCTCTCTCAACCTAATAATTTTAAGTTTTTCATTTTTTAAATTTAATCTAATTTTATAAAAAAATAGATTAAAATTGGTGATTAGAAGTATACAACGTAAAGTCCAATTCATTGTTATAGAATAAATTTATTATAAAATCATCAGTTTTAATTTTATATTCAAATATGACTAATATGTTATTATTATTATTATTTAGATTGAAAGAGTATCAAGGAATCCTTTCAAATAAATAGATAATAATAAAAAATAAAGAATTTTCAATATTTAAGTCTGAAATAATGAATAATAATGAATAAGAGAGTAGTAAATGATTAAGGAGAGAAGTGCATAAGCTTTTATATAAAGTAATATTAACACCATAATGGTTTAAAAATTAAGAAACATTTTCTATTTATCGAATGTTGTGAACTACTCGTCCAAATATATCGAATCTCATCTAAATATCTAAAATATCAAATACCTGGATTAGTTTGAAACACTCGTCCTTGAATATAGGTAATTTAAATTACTTACCCAAAATCTCACACATGACATATCCTTATTTCGAGGAGCGGGGTATCCACGATTATATTCGTAAGTTTTGTTTTGGTAAAAAGGGTTTCATATACTAAAACATAGTTATAAAAAAATTGAAATGGTGAGAAAGTGTTGATGTGGAGAAGAGATTCCAAAAGGGTGTGGGTGAAATGAATGTAGAAGTACAGAGTGTGCAGAGAGGGTTTTGACAGTGCAGGATTCTGAGTCCCAATCTACCCTCACTCTCCTACCATTTGCAATCACTTGACTTGTCACCACATATTGTAGCCTATCATAGTTTGGTCCACACTCTACTACTCTATCTTAGATTCTTACTACTTATTATTACAACACCAACAATTATTATACCACTTGCACAACATAATAAACATTTACCCAGAGTAATTATGTGTTTATTCTTAAAATTTTACATTTTTTTTTATCTAAAAACATGATAATATCATTAATATAAATTCTCATGCTTTAATTTTAAAAACGTATTGATAAATTAAAAAAAATTGTATATAAATTATCTTTCATTCTAATCCTAATAATTAAGTATTTAGAGATTAAAATCTCATTTTTCTAAATTTGAAAGAGTAAATTTTTTATTTTAGAAACCAAAATCATCTCTTTTTAGAGAACAATTTTACCATCTTATGAATTAGAGAGGTATTATTTGTTGTTATTCTAATGGTCATTTAAATTTTTAGTATGTTAAACATAATGTTTTTTTGTTTGTTTGAATATGGTACCCATAAAAATTGTACCAAAATGCATTTAATTGGGGATTGTATGACATAGACATAAACAAATAATAAATATGTGAAGAAAAGAAGAGAAGGGTAGGAGTATTAATTGAAGGAGAGAAAAAAAAATGAGAAAAAGGAAAAAAAAAAAATGGAAGAAAGAAGAGGAGAACAAGGAATCCAATGTGTGAAAGAAAGGGGTTAGTAGAGACACGTACACATGGGTTTCTGAGGAATCCTAAGCATATCAAAGATTCGAAATTTGGAACCCAACATCAACATCATAATACCATAGTGCTGACGTGTAACCTTTTTTTTTTTTTTCTTGTCACAGATGCTAAATTTGTAATCATTTTATAAAAATTTAAAATGAATTAATTAATTTTGAAAATAATATGACTATTTTTTAGTAAATTCATTTTAAAATATATTTTTTATTGTCGATAGAAAAAATCATTAAACTGATGAAATATATTGTAGTTTATTAATTTAATAATTTTTTTTTCTCATCAGAAAAATTAACATAGTTAAATAAAAAACTCTTACGTGAATGTGAATATGAATTTGCTCACTATTTTTTATTTTATTATTATTTGGGTTGTGATGACGCGGTTTGGGTCACATCCTGCCCGAACTGCCCGTGAAAATTTGAAGCAAAGTGGGTTGGCGCCAAAACGGTGAAGACAGACACAAACGATGTCTGTAGCCCGCGAAATGCGGGCTGTGGCGGCGGGTGTGTCCCACACCAACAAATTTGGGTTAGGAAATTACATAGTTGCCCTTTGCCCTTTCTCTTTTGGACCCACCCTCTTCTCGTTAATCATAAATTCTTTTTATCTAACAACATGATGAATTTTAAATTCTCATTTCAAATTAATTTAACTTTTTTTAAAATAAATAGAATGTAATTATTTTTTTTTATCGAAATAAACCCAATTAAAAAAAAATTATTGTATCCAGTTCGATATTTCATTTTTATTGGATGAATCAAGAATTTCTATATTATCATTCATATTAAGGTTTATTTGTTTTTATTATAAAGTTGATCGAAAAAATTACCTTTTATATTATTATTATTATTATTATTATTATTATTATTATTATTAAATTGATCATGATAAAATTGCCTTTTTAATTCAATTTAGACGTGAGATTTATGAAACTATAAAAAAAAAGTATTTTTAAGATATGGTCCATTTAGAATTTCAATTTATCATCATTTGGTCTTATAAAATATACTTGGTTTGTATATATGTATATTATTTTATAAAATTAAGATTATTTAAATTATTTTTTTCAATAATATTTTATTTATTTATTGTAGATATAACAAATAAGTTATTATAAATGTTTTGAACTGGTAAAATATTAATATGACAAAATTATTAATAAAAAATTATTAATTAATATATTAAAATAATAAAAGAATATTTTTATTAATCTGTGTAGTGAATTTTCAACGATATAATAAAATAAAATAGCATTTATAAATTATATTTTCTTTGATTTCTAAATGATACAACAACAAAAAAAGTGTTATGAAACAATTGTAATATAAGTGTTGAGCATTGATTAATTTTGTTATTTACAAAGATTACATTATGTAAAGTTTTATTAAAAGTTGTTTAAATTCATGAAAGTGCCCTATAAATGGTATTTGGGAGAAAAATGAAAGTTGTGAGTATTGAATGTGAATGAGTGAAAAAGGATTAAAGTTAGGGTAGCATTAATTGAAATTGAAGAAAATTGAAGGTAATATACAATACCAACCCCACGTTCTTTTCTTTCATATTCATTATAATTTTAAATTTTTTTAATTTGTTTCATAATTTTAATAAAAGAGATACCAAACTTATTTATAAAAATGTATTATTATAATTATCTGAAATATATATGAGATATTTTATTTTTATTTATTAATTGTACCGTAAATATTTTAAAATAATTTTTGTTTTTTTAAATGAATTAATATTCAAATATCTTAAATATTATTGAAATATTTAAATATTATTAAGATATTCTCCTTATTTACTCGATAGTTATGGTTATTAATTTCATATAAATACGGATATTTATTTAATTTTATTAATTTATATTTTTTTAAATTCACAATAAGAAAACAATAAATCAACAAATAGAAAAAAACACTCCACCTTACATTTGCATAAGAAAACACATTTACTATGTTCTTTTTTTCTATAAGTAAATAATACTAGCGTTTTCATAAATACATGATACATGATTGGAGAAATATTAATGTTTTATTTGGATAAATGATGATATTAGGATAGTAAAAACAAATGAAATTATTTAGATTAAAAAAAAGTGAAAAATTAGATAATTTTATTTTTTATTTTTAGTTATTTACTATTATAATAATAATAATAATAATGTAAAAAAATATTGATCATTTTTTAAACTTTTTTTTTTCCACAATTTTTTGCATGTTATTGTTTAAACGTAAAAACATATATAACAGTGTAAAATTCACGCATTTTACGAATTAAAATACATATATCGGAAAAGTATATTTAATTTTTTTTAATAATTGGGTGGAAGAATACATAATTAATCTTAAAAGCAAAAATACAAAAAATCATCATCATTAAAGAAAACAGCACAAGGGCCCAAACTATATGATCATGTTGGTTCTCACTCTCCTTTCATGGGCTTGTTTGGTTTTCTCAACCACTCTCTCAAAAAACAAGGGTGGGCTTTTGAGTTATGTAACAACAATTAGTTATGAAGCAAATTACAAAAAAAAATAATTTAAAGTTAAATTTTAAATTTAAATTTTAGTAAAAAATTTACTTTCATTTTTTAAATATATCTAATTTTTTAATATTTTTATCATTTTTAAATATACAACTTATAATATTTTAACTTTTTTCAATGACAAAAAAATATTACAAAATTATATATAGTTATAGATAACTAAATATTTATTATTGAAACTTCCATAATTTGTATCATTATTTTACATATATAATAGCCTCATTCCAAACAAAACATTCATTCTCAACGAAAAAAATTCCGACAAGAACCAATTTTTTATAAATTGTATTACAAACGTAAACATGTTATTATTAAAAAAAAAAACACGTGTTTCTTTTGTTTATTTCTTATAAACAAATATAATAAGCATTTTTTTGTTTAACTAGAGTGGATAATATCATGCTACAGTTCGGTTTCCAGAAGAAAAACTTTATCGATTTTGTATATCTCCAGTAGAACCACCGCTTCCGCCACCTCCGGAGTATTGTCGCCACCCTCCGCCACCGTCAGGTCCGTTCTCTTTCTCTCTTCGCTTAATGTTTAGGTCTTCGATTAGAACGAATGAGATTCGTCGTTGTATTTTACACCATTGATTTTATGGTTTTAGTTACTTTTGAGTTCAACTACTTTGCTTTCATAGCGTAAAACTCATTCAAAATTCATGATTGGTATAACATTTAAATAGTTATTGTAAAGTGAACCGAGATACATGGCAATTGTGGTTCCATCCCATTGTAACTTGATAATGAAGAGGAACCACAGGGGAAGATTCAAAGTATGGAAGGATCAAAAGGGGGTATAAATGAAATTAACTCGCAATGGATTTGGATTCCCATAACCCAGCTTTCTAATGAACATATGAAAAGCAGGATTTGTATTTTGTAATATGCTTGAATACTGGTATTGTGTTAGTTATTCATTTTCTGAAGTAAAGGATGGTGAATTCTGAGATTGAATGTCAATACTATTAGTTTTTTTATGTGGATGGTAAATCAGATCAAAATTTGTCACGTGTCTACTATAAGTAATTGAGTTGTATTAGATTGAAAAAAAAAAAAAAAAAACTAGAGATAGATTATTGTTGTTTGAGTGAGATGGTTTTGTGTCCCATGTTCCTTGCTTTCTATTCAATATATCGTTTGTCATTTTCATGATAATATTTCGCAGGACTCACCTTTTCTCAATTAGTGGAAACTATAAATTCTGGTCAGAGTTGGTAGGAACAGTTCAAAACAGAACTATAGTATCTTGTCTCTCTCCGTTGTAGGAGTGTTGCTGACTTTCTTGTGATCAACAATCCTGATGAAGTCTCTCTCACTTCATTCTCATGCCTTTTCTAGGTGGTTTTTGCTTTAATTCTCAATTAAGTTTTTGGGTATCCCTTTTCTTTCTCATTGTATACTACATCTGAAATTTCTTCTCCCCCCTCCCCTTTCTTAATTAGCATTGTTTTTGTTGCGGCCACAGGTTTTCTTCAAGTGAAGCTGGAACAAACTCTAGATGGCTGCCCTTCAAGTCATCAAATTCTCTCTCCTGTTCCTACAAGCCTCGAAATTTAAGCAGATTTTTATGTCTGAGCACTCAAAATGGCGGCTTTAGAGAAAACTCTGGTGAAGTTGGTAGTGGAGATGCGGTGATAATTGTGGATCATGGTTCACGTCGCAAAGAATCTAATTTCATGCTTAGTAAGCCAAACCCATCATTTACGTCTCCGTGTTTGTTTCTTGTGCATTGCCATTATTATTGTATTAACTTGATACATGAATGTTCCTTTTTGGGTGGGGGGAGGGGAGTTTTCTCAAATTGATTATGTACTAGGGAATACTTTATTTTGATGTCTAAAAGTTGTATTGTTTTGAATGTCAGATGAATTTGTGGAGATGTTTAAGTATAAAACTGGTTATGAGATAGTGGAACCTGCTCACATGGTAATTTTCTGTAATCTGTTGAGTTTTTCATCATTTCAAGCATAGAAATACCATATTAAGATAAAACATGAAATCTGAATGATATTAGTTAGATATTTGATCTGCTACTATAGCTTATAGGCAATTTATCTATTGTCATCTCTTGCCTGAATTTTAGGACAAGGCCTCTTTTGGTCTTGAAAAACACTTTCTAGCATGTGAGCTAGTGTAGCATTATTTTAGGAGTTTTAGTTTTTTCCTTGAGCTGTATGGCATGCACAGTAAAACTTAATTTGCCTTCATGTCATGAGGAAATAGAGTTGAGCTTCTTGCCATTTCTTCATGTCTGACCTGGAATTTAGATTTAGCGGTAAGAAATAGCAATAGCAATAACACAAAATTCTTTTTGCATTTAGACATGTCATTCTTTTCATTTCTTGACAAAATTGTAGCTATGGAGCAAATTCATTATGACATAAAAGTATTATACATTTGCAGGAATTAGCAGAACCATCAATAAGAGATGCTTTTCAATCTTGCGTTCAACAAGGTGCAAATCGCATTATTGTTAGTCCCTTTTTTCTCTCTCCTGGAAGGCATTGGAGTCAGGTAGGGCTATATAAAACTCCCACTTTTCTATAAATTGTCAAAATGATCCTTTGACTTGATGAGGATAGAAAATAGGCAAAAAGTTAAATGGCACTACTGTGCAGGATATTCCTTCCTTAAGTGCAGAGGCAGCGAAGGAACACCCTGATGTGTCATACATTGTTACTGCACCCCTTGGACTACATGAACTACTTGTGGTATGATACACTTGTTTTATTAAGTTTCCCGAGTTGCATTTGTGAAAGACTTGGTACAATTTTTTCCAAATTTCAAGTTTGATTATATGTTTGTTGTGGTCAACTTTAATCAGACGACCTATTATTCCTTAAATGTCATGAGTCGATTTATTTTATTTTTTTTCACAAATAACCTTTTACATTCAAGGCATGGATTCACATTCCTTTTGTTTTGGGTTACTTTTTTAAGATAAATTTGACCTATGTAAAGTGCTCAATAGGCACCTTGTTTGTTTATTTAATGCATCTTTGTTTCTCCTTTATAAAGTTTATGCACGTGGGTTGGAACCTAGATTTTATAGATTCTAGACTCTGTGTAAAGCATCCAATTTGATGTGGTTTTTCAACTAAACTTGTATTGGATGAAATTCCAAACACGCTATCAGGGATAACCCATGACTATATATCTTACTGCACTAATTTACAGAGGGTCTAAAAAATCCTCTCTTTAATCTTCTTTACCATGTTGTGGCCATAGCAATGGTTCATATCATTTTTCTCTCACCAATAGAGCTTTTCACATGTTTTTGTCCTCTATGACCAGTCTCTCCTTTTTCTCAGGGTTGCATTGTATATTTCATTTTGAACTCTAATGATATTGTGCCACAGGATGTTGTGAATGATAGAATCAAGCACTGCATAAAGCATGTGGCTGGAGATGCAGAGGAGTGTTCTGTATGTGCAGGGACTGGAAAATGCAGGCTCTATTAGTTTGTGAAACTGAGACTGTTTTGAACACTGTTTCTAAGGCAGATGAGGCTGGAAGCAAGGAATGTGTACATTGAGTTGCAAGTTTTCTGAAGTTATGAATTCAGTCAGGTTGTACATGGATTCTAGCAGATAGAGCATTGTCCTCCTATGACGCAGTTCAAATGGGAAGATTTAGTGTCCACATTTTCCAATGAACATAAAGTTGATTGTTCAATGTTTGCTCAAGCACATTCCTGTCGTTTGAGAGCAAATTTGTTCTTACCCACTATCCCATGCTTCCTAAATATAGTAAGTTGAGTACTTTTAATAAACAAGTTAAGTGAAATTACCATTTCAGATGGAGTCGGATCTTACAATAATAATCATATCTCCTGAGACAAACTCGAGTTACAAAGTTTCATTCTTAGTATCTCGTTTCTTATAAGAAAATAGTTAAACTAGAATTTAAAAAGAAGTGAGTGCAAAACATATTTATATTTATAACTATAGAGAGCTAAGGAATCTCAAAGAAGACAAGAAATGAAATTTGTATAAAAGAATCTTGAAGAGATACGAGATGTTTATAAGTATAATAATATATAAGGAAGTAGAAAATATGAGTAGAGGATAAAGGGAGATTGTTTGGATGGATAGAAAGAGAATAGAAAATGAAGAAATATAATCCATTAATTTTTTATTATTATTTTTTTTCTGTATATAAAAGAGGAAAGAGAAAATGTGACCTTTTACCTTTTTCACTTCTTAATTTTTATATTTTTATAATACAATTTTTTTTTCTTTTCGGATAAAGTATAACAAGGTGTAAAATGTAATAAAATATGTATTAATAAGATGAAAATTTAATTTATAATTAAATATTACTTATTCGGTATTTCTCTTTTATAAACAAGATAATTTATAATGTAAATTTCAAGTGAACATGAGTAAAGAATATAGTTAATATTATATGTACTCGGTAGTAGTATGTTTTATATTTTTTTTAGTCTAACAATTTTCTTATTTTAATGAAAAATAATATATTAATGAATGAGATGCGATAACGTTACAAGACATAAGATATGTTTATTACCATGAGACATTATTATTATTATTATAAAAATATAGAATTATGTGCAAAAAAATCATTAATAAAACAAAAAAAAGTTACAATATATTATACATTTATTTTGATGACTTGAAATTGAATTCATGTTTTTATGTTTAAAAGTTTTTCTTTGTTTAATTCCATATCCATAAAACTACCCATCTTTCACCCTATTATTTTATAATGAAATTAAAAGATATTATAAATATATTAAAAGAACTTATTATATATCACGAGAAATGATTTTATTTTAAAAATAGTTTTAACATAATTAATTACTTTTCTTAATAATATTTTATATCCTATAATATATATATTTCAATATAGTATAATAGTATTATGATAATAAATATTGTTTATCATTAATAATACTTTGTTTTTTTTATATTTAGATTAAATTTATCTTAAATAAGCAAAAACAGTTTTTATTATTGAGAAGGTTGAAAATGATTAATTTTAAGCTAGGATTTTTTTTTATTAAATATATAATTTATTCTCTATTTTGCTGTAAGTATACTTCTGTTAATCCTTTTATACAGGTAGAAATTTGTTACGAGTTTCTATTGCAGTTAAAAATATATTTTAAACTTAATAGTTTTATATTTGTCTGAGAATGTACTTGCCCAGTGACTACAAGTGAAGGAAAGAAAGAGAGAGAGTAAGAAAATGAAGGTCCAGGCTTCAAATTTGGTTACTCTGTTCAGATTCTGCACTCCCTCTTCTTCTTCCTCTTCAATATCTCGCATCAACCACTTCACACTCACCACCACAATCAGTATCTTTCTTCTTCTTGTTCAACTTCAATCATTATTCTCACTCTTTTGTTGTTATCATTTTTCTTTTCTCATTTAAATTTTGATTAAGATTACAGAAATTTGAAATTCGCTTCCGCGAGAACTCTACTGCAAGCGAAGAACCTTCCACTCTCGCTCTCTTCTCGCGCCTTCGATGTTCTTTCCCCTCTTAATGTTGCTTCTAATTACCTTCGTAATTTCCGGGTTTCGGGTAAATCAACTGATTCTCTTGCTTTCTTTTCTTTCTTTATGTCTGTTTATTCTCTTGCTCCATTAGTCAACATTCGATGTAAATTAACTGCCAACATAGCTAATAAAAAAATATAAATATAACAACAAAAATGGTTATGAATGGAGAATTTAAATATAATCCAATTTAACTATTTTCACTTTGTTTGAATGATATCATTTCTAAAACACCTTTCATATTATGGTGATTTTATTTTCAATAACTTTTTTTTTTTATGTGATATCAAATTCTGGTGAGAAATATGAGTTAATTTTGAACTGAAATTAAATGATGTTAACCAATTCAACGTTACGGATAAAAATATGATGATGTTAACTAACATTGGTTGACACATGTGTCTGATGGCATGAGTTGTGTTCCTTAATCATGTGATCCAGGATTCAATATCCACCTTGTGTGAATTCAAAATCCTCGATAGTGTTTATCGTTGTTTTCGGCGATGAGTCATCCGTATGAATACCATGATTACAAAAAAGAATGATGTTAAATGACTTTCAGTGTGAAATTAATTATTTTTGCTTATATTTGAAGTAGAGAGAGTATTTACACTATTTAGAATTTAATTTTCGTACATTAATCATTACACTAGAATATAATGTTCGTACATTGTTTTTAAAGCTGTTAGCCACTTAAATCTCTTGTTAAGGATAACTTACAGGTAGTTATTGTAAATGTCTACAAAATTTGCCTACCCTGTGATTTCTGATGAGTTGATGATATAAAAAACTTTATACTATCATTGTTCTAATTTTTATTTTACTTTTCTATCAATGCAATAGTGCACTAGCTACAGCTACAAACTCTACGAAAATCCCAATGAAAATGTAGGATTGATTATAGATAAGTATTGGTTTCTTAGGTTTTAGTGGAGCTAATATTGAATATGATTCATTATTTTCTACAAAGACTTCGGAAGTTTCTAGGGAGATGCAATATGGAATAGAAATTGTACAATGCAAAACTTGTACTTTGTATCCATTAACTAGAGCCTAGAGATGAAGTTTTCTCGGCTTATTATTAGGATTTAAATTTTCATATAAGTTTTATATATATTTTTTTGTGTATTTTCAATTTGGCTGTGGAAGGGTTGTTCCTTTAGGCTGACATGTAGGCATATGATGGTTTTAATTTGACAAGTTTCTTGTGTCTGGCGCTGTATCATGGGGCTATTGGTTTGATTGTAAGTGATGATACCCAAAATAAATATGTTAGACTTGAAAGTTGGTACACCGTTCTGATTATCTGAGTAATATCAAATTTTATGTTATCTTGAAGCATGATGCGGTTGTTCTGCATATTTCAGGCAGTTACATGTGCAGTGGAATCCTTTTAGGCGTGTCAATGGTATCTGCACCAATTATAGCTCATGCCATGGATGGTGAGCTGCATATCTGATTGGTATTATGTGCTTTTACTTTTGTGTTTATTTTCTTAGAAACTATCCTCGCTGCTGTCTTTTTCTTTCATTAACTAGAGTATTTTTATTTGCTACAAGTAGCTGGGGATGCATTGGTGGATGATCATGAATTACAGGACCTTTCAGAGGAGGAAGAAAATGGGCAATACTTGTGGAGATTGGCTAGAAAATTTTGGCTGCCCATTTTTTTCTTTGTCACGGTGTTGACAAACTTGGATAACTCAATTACAATGTTATGCATTAAACTTGCTTTGTTCCTCCTGAGCACCAAACCCAACCCTTTCTCTGTCTATGTATTTGTTGATCAGGTCAGATACTGCATTAACAATTTCATGGTGTAGCTAAAGAATGTACCTGAACTGTTTTGTAGTTTTTTCCTTCCAACCACCTTAAGATTTTTCTTCTTGGTTTCTTCAACATATTTCATTGGCTAACTCGAGTTTTAACTATGTCACAAAATCATTTTTGTAAGATTTTTTATGCCCGTAATTGTTATCCCTGGGTCTATTTTATCTTGAATCACTAAATATGTTTTTTGAACATTGATAGTGTTTCTATAATTTTATTTTAGTTGACAGTGTTTTGGTTATAATTTCTTATATTGCAGTTGTGTCAACAATCTATGCGCCAAGAGGCACGATTTCTTCAATTAAAGGTGCATGACCGTCTCATATTTGATTTTGTTTCTAGTTGCTAGTATGGAAGTCTAACAAACTATTTGTTTTTTTCACCTCAATTCAAATATTATTTTATGATAAACTGATGGAATAGTGGAATTTCCTTTTCTGTTACTGTTCCTCTGGCATTCAATCATATATTGTTTGAAAACCAGTTCCTTTTTCCTTCTTATCTGCGGCCTTTTGCAAGTAAATTGAGGTCCCTAAAGTTTTGCATGTTCCAGCAAACTAACATGCACGTTCAATGATACTACAAACATCATACTTTTTGACTCTGAATTTGTAGTGTTTATTAAAGTCAAAATACAGGGCACTTTGGTATTGCGTATTTGTTGTCTTTTAACACTTTTCTGATTTATAAGATTTATTTGTTCCTTGAACATATTTGACAGTGTTTGTCTCCTCAGTACATTTTTATATTCCGTAAGTTTGTCCCCTGAGCATTTGAAAAAAGATATAAGAAAGAAACCATCTCCCACTTGTTTCTGTTTTTTATTTTTAAAACACTTTGTGTGGAAACAATTTTCAAAACTTAATAGATTTTGAGTGAGAAATTGCCAACTGAGTAGTGTGGAATTGTTTTTGAAAACAATCTCTTAAACACGAAACTAAGAAGAGAATCAAACATACCCTTAAGATCTTACTCTTGCTCTGCATTTCACATTTTATCTGCAGTCACTATACGCCAGCAAAGTTGAAGTGCAGGACTATAAGCTTCTTTGCATGGCTGATGTTGAAGTAAGAGATCAGAAGTTCACTTTGGTTGGAATACTTGGTAGTTGGTGGACTTTGCCACATTTACCATTTTGTGAAGCATTCTCTTTCGTCAGAAATAGAATTGGAAGTATCTTGGTGAAAACAACTTAACAAGGTAGCCTGCAAATTTAAAATTAGCATCCCATATTGTCTCATTTCCAAGTCTTGTATCGGGATTGTTAGATAATAATAGCAATTATGATGTAATATTTAGTTCGGTTAGGTTGGTTAGCCTAACTAACTTCATATCTGATTATATATATTGTGTCTCTACAGTATACGGTGTAGTGTTGTATAATTCAGTTTTTATATTGAATACAATTTATATTTAGTGTTCCTTTTTCTCTTGGTACTCTCTCGATTCTCGTTTTAAGACCTTTTTTCCACTATCAGAGGTATCAAAAACTTCAAGATCTAGGAAGAAGAAAAAGAAGAAGAAGAATGACAATGATAGGAATTAGGTTGTATGGCAACATTTCAGTGCTTAATAGCAAGAACCTAAATGGGTATGATAGTTGATATGTGAAGATGAAGACCGTTTTTGGTTTTCAAGAAGTCTCAAACATAGTTCTAAATGAATATGAGGGACTACTAGAGAATCCCACCGATGCACAACGTGTGACGTTTGAAGAGGAAAATAAACGTGATTGCAAAACTATGTTCTACATTTATCCGTGTATTGATGAAAACAACTTTAAGAATATTTCGTTGATAAACTCGACGAAAGAAGCATGAGATATACTGACACACAGTTAAGCAGGTGGAGAGAGGTTAAGCGTGATGCAACTTCAAACCTTGTGTCATCAATATGAGTTGTTACAAATGAGGACGTAAGAAACCATCTAAGAATATTTTGCAAGATTGATGTCAATCACAAACTTGATAAAATCATGTGGTGAAAGTATAAAGGAACGAATGGTGGTAGAGAGTATAACAATGATGAGTTTGTATCATTTATCAAGAAGAACAATATTTTGTATGAGATTGTATCTCATACACACTACAACACAATGATTTTGCTGAAAAATAAATCTTATTCTGAATACCTTTTATTTTAATTATTATTGTTATATAATTTATAATAGAAAATGAAGTAATTTTGTTGTTGGTAGTGTTAATTTTTGTTAGTAGAAGTTTTCGAACCCACAATCTATCTCCTTTAATTTTTACTAACAAGTTAATCTTATATTTCTTAATTATTTTGAGTGTTAGAGAGTATGTAGTTACATTCTTGTAATAATGAAAGAGCCATCGTGAATCACACAAGTTCGAATTTCAATGTAATTTGCAATTGAAATTTAGTCTAATGTCATTATTGATTTTTATTATACTTTGTTGCATAACAAAAAGTAGAAAAACTTGAATATCTCTTAAAATAATAGTTTGTTTGGCCTACAAAAAATACGCAAGATGTTTAAGCATCCAGTATAAATTTGGACTCATCCTTGTTTACATTTAATGCTATTAGTGTATTGTTCATTTATAATTAAAGTTTCAACGTATCTATTTTGAACTTTATTAAGAGAATATTCTAAGATAAACTTTCAATTCTCATTGATTAACATAAAAAGCATTTCTTAAATTTCTCAATTTAAGAAAATTGGTGATGTTAAATCACAATTTGATTTAAAATGATATAAAATCTAACTTATAATATTTATTGGTTAAATGATAAAATCACAATTCAAGAAAATTTTAACACAATTAAAAGACTTAAATGATAGTTTTACATATTTTTAAAGTGTAAAATAATAAATAATTACATTTAGAAACTAAGCATATAGTCTTCAAAATTACTTTTAAATTATTGAGACAATACTTCAATTTCAAGGACTGATTTGAATATTCATTGTATGTAAAAAATAAAATAAATTTATGCAAACTGTTTGATCAGAAATGGAATTGGCAGCCATTCAAATATTGAAAGTTGTTACACATCAATACCAGAAAAATTAATGGTACATGACCCACTTGCAATTAAAGAAGACAAGTGGGGTTTGGAAGAATGATCATGTTGAATATTGAATGCATAATATTTTTCAAATATTAATAACTACAACTTTTATTTTTCTTTTTTTATTCATATACCTTTAACATCTTCAATATAGGAAATAAATTTGATAAGTAAACTCATCTTTTAGCATTTATGATTACTAGTCACCCAGTTAGCAGGGTGATGGATACTGTCTAAAAATAAATAATTATATATGATCAATAATAGTGAAGCCTTTACTTTAAGTTTTGAATCAGCATTTACCAAAAAATGAACTCTTACATGTGTTTAAATGCCAAATATACATACATAACAAAAAAAAATAATTTCTTGGTTAAACTATATACTCGGAGTCCAACCCGGGTCATTAGGCAATGAAATTTGTTTGTCTCAATGTTGGAAAATCTTTTGTAACCCTTCTTGATCACACCATGAGATAAAATTTGATTCCTTTGGGTAGGTTGGTTGAAGGGACCTTCCAAAAAATGGAATTATTGGGAATCAAACTTCCAAAATTGTTTCTTCACTTCTTGATGGCCTAATCAAGCTGCATGTACTTGAGGACTCAGAGGGATTGTGGGACACATCAATCATTTTGAATGTGTTTGATGAGGAGCTATCTATGCTGAAACCTAATGGAGCTGTTTGATTTAGCAATCTAGAGTTCAAAAATGGGGGTTGTTTTGGAATAGGGACATCCAAATTTGAATTGCTTAACATGCATGCAACTTGAGCCATGGAAGGCCTAAGAGAAGCAGAAGCTTGTGTGCATAGTAATCCAATTTGAAACACCCTGAATGCTTCTCTTGCAGGAAAGTCATCTCCCAAACATGGATCAACAGCTTCACCCAATCTGTTTGATTGGTAAAGTTTCCAAACCTGGTGCCAAAAGACCAATATTTTCCAACTCATTTTCACCTTATTTCAAGAAGTTCTTCACAATAAGTTAACCAGAATTTTTTTGTAGTTATGGAAACAACTTTTTACATAAGCACTAATATTATAAACTCTTATTCATGAAGGGTTTAATTAAGATGATTTCCAAGTTTTATGCAAAATTAGGTACTAATCTTACTGTTTGCAAAAGGGAACCAGAATCCTCACGGAAGATATTATTCTTCCTGCCACTTGCAATCTCCAGAACAAGGACTCCATAACTATACACATCTGCTTTGTCTGTAAGTTGTCCTTGAATGAGATACTCAGGAGCCATGTAACCTCTGCTCCAAGAAATGAAAAAAACTAATGTCACTTAAAACTATGAAACTTGTTAACAACATATTAAAAAACATTAAATTTTCATTATCAGCTCTTGCTTTTGTCTTGAATGGTTTCTTTATATGATAACAGTGCTTTCTCACAATAGGGTGCGTTAGAAATTTGAATTGAAAAATCTGTCCTTGACCCTTCACTTCAAAGCATTAAACTTGAATCAATGGACTTGTGTAAGAGACAGGACTGGTCTAAGCATTACAAAACTAAAACTCAAATTTTAGGTCCACTAATAAAAAAAAATTGATTTTAAGTTTTAAAAGTAAAAAAAAACACCACATATATCAACAAAAAAACCCAATATATCACCTTTAAGTTTAAAAAAGAAACCATTTTAAATTTTGTTTTAAGTCTATCTGTTGGACCAACCCTCTGAGAACATGTTATTGATGGAGAAATTAAACAAAAAAGTCTAACTTTTTAGCTTGTTAAAAGACTAACATATTACATATCAGGAAGTGATATGCACATTTGAAAATGTAGGTATGTTACTTGCATGCATGATACGATGTGCTAAAATCAAAGACTCACAGTGTTCCTGCAATTCCTGTGCTTAGATGTGTTTTGTCAGCACCAAAACACCGGGCAAGACCAAAATCTGCAATCTTGGGGTTGAGATTCTCATCAAGAAGAACATTGCTACTTTTGATGTCTCTATGGATGATTCTTATTACTGAGCCTCCATGAAGATATGCAAGCCCTTCTGCAACTCCAAGAATTATTTCAAACCGTTGCTTCCATTTTAGAATCCTTGTTTTTTCCTTTTCTGCAAAGCAAATTAGTGTGTCACCTTACTGAAACTACATATAAGCATTTTGTATCCCTTGCCCTTCCTTCACTTGTTTGCATCAAAGTTGATCTTAGAAAATAAAAGAAGGGTTTAAACAGTTTTTATTTATTAATCTCTAATTATGAAGATGTCTCCTATTGGTCCTTATTTCCATCAATGAAGTACCAAAAGTAGATAAACTCGTATGAAAAACAAGAACCATGTATGACACTTTTTCATAAACAAGGCATAAAAAAAGAGACAATTTAGCTCATACTTGGATCAATTAAGAAATTAACTGAAAACATAGTACAATATTTTCATTTATAGTTATTATGAGAGAAAGGGATACCAAAAAGGAAATGGTCTAAGCTCTTGTTGGGTAGGTACTCATACACAAGGAGGCTCTCAGGGCCTTCAATGCTGCAACCCAATAGCTTGACAAGGTTCTTGTGATTCATTCCACTGATTAAATTCACTTCATTGAAGAAATCATCCACCCATTGCCTGCTATTGAAGACCAATCTCTTAACAGCAACATCTTTCCCATTTGGGAGAGTCCCTTTGAATACAGAACCTGTTCCTCCTTGGCCTATTTTTCTTGAAGAGCAGAAATAATCTGTGGCCTTCTCAAGAGTTTCATATTTGTAATTCAAGCTAGAATTCTTCAAGTAAGAGGGAATCTCAATGAGATTGTTTTCTGAATGGTTCAGGTGAAATGAAATTCAGCATCAGAAAAATTAACAAACAATCATTCTAAATATATATCTAATTGGTGAGACAAAACAGTGTTCTACAGAACATTACTTTTTCTCATTTTGGTGAAGGCCACATAAGAGGCCAAGAGAGAGAGAGCTGCAACAGCTGCAGCCGAGACTGACACTGCTGCTTTGATGGTTCGTTTTCTAGAAGAATCTGAAAAATGAAAACATGGATAATAGCATCAACATGTGTATAAAATAAATGACTAGCATGAATCTGTGTCATCTATGAACTAAAATCTAGGAATTGGATAAAGTTCAGACACAAACTAACATAAGGAGCGATAGCAGTGTAAGAAATTTAAATTTGAAAAGCAGCATTTCAGTCACAATGATAGAAAAACAAATTCTTCTCTATCTTCATTCCCTTATCATGTATTCTTTAAGCAGTAGAAGGAATTTGAAACTGCAAGATAAAAAGAATTGAAATTCCCAATTCAGCTTCAGTTACATTAAACTTCTCAATAAACACTTCAAATAAGAAAGCAAAACTCGTTAAATTTTTTCCACAATTTAAAATTAACTCTTGCACCTTAACTTTTTAGATTAGATAAGAGAACTTCAACAAAATTTAAAGCGTATAAGTTGATTTTAAATTATGGGAAAGTTGAATTCATTTTACCTTTTTTTTTCTCTCTTATAAGTACTTGTTGGTAAGTTTATCCAATCAGAACAAACTACAGAAGAATATGAAAACTTCAAATTAGAGCAACACTCTTACCATCTCCTTCCCCATCTTCACCTCCTTGATTGTAGAACTTAAAAGTTGAATATCTCAAATAACAGCCAGAATTCAAGGCCCTCCCTTCCCTCTTAGGCAAACACCTTCTGACCTCATTTCCAGCTTTCCTCAAGCAATCACTACACCCTTTTCCCCGAACAGTTTTCCAGCACTGTGCCAAGGCATAAACTCCCTCACCTTCTCCCACTGCAAACCCTCTTCCCTCATTCACTGCCACCCTCACCACACTCTCAACCACTTTGCCAACACTATCACCAAACACCAACCTCTCAGCCTCACCAGCCACAGGACCATACTGTGTGGTGCAGTTGACTGTGTCCCTCACAGGTTCAGTGTCCTCGGTGTAGAAACTATAGTTGTCATAACGAAGAAAGCAGCCATCAAGGAAAATGTGAGCAGAAACTGAAGGGAGGCAGCGAGGGAGCTTGGTGCGGCTGGCTGCAAAGCACTGAAGGCAATCAATGTTGGAAAGGTCTTGGAAGCACTGTGCCAAACCATAAAGGGGAGTGGCTGATGATACGCCCTCAGAGTGAGTGCCCCAGTTGTTTTTGCTCACAAGCTCTTGAAGCTTTTCCATTTCTTTGGTGAACATGGGGAAGTAGTTACCACTTGTTGGTGCCTTGTGAGTGCCACAGTAGTACCCCACTGTTGAGATTCTTGGATCAGATAGTGCTGAGTGGAAGAAACACAAGAGGGTGGCCACCGTGAAGATAACATCATCGAATGATGCATTCTTGCACTTGTAGTGGTTACTGTGATAATGGGAAGCCATGCTTGTTATCAGGCCTATAAACTGGTTATGTTCTTGATTTCGTAGGATTCTTGATATTGTGAAAAATTGTGGACAAACAAGACTAATACAGTCACAATCGTCTAATTTTGTCCTGATCTTTGATACTGTAGAAAACTCAAGATAAATGCAATTGATACTGACACAATTGCCTAGTCTCGTTCTGATATTTGACTTTGTAGAAAATTGTAGAACAAATATGATTGATACAGTCACAATTATGGTTGTGATTGATCACTGAGACTTAAAAAATCTTGTTATTGCGGCAGAAATTGCAGCTGTGGATTGTTTTTTATTTTGAAAGTTGCTTGTTATGTTGGATCTTGTGTTCTAAGTTTTCTCCATTTCCTTCTTTAAGTTCTGCAAGAAAGAGTTATGAGTCTTTTTGTGCGTGTGTTTTGCGAGTTTGAGTGGAAAAGTTAGCGTGTGGTTGGCACCTTGGACTTTTCATTCTTCTTGTTGCTATCATGATTTAGTGTTGTTAGTGGCAAATCGAGAAAAGCGATCGAAAACGAAGGAGAGAAAAAGCGAGAAAATATGCGACTAATGGATAAATCGATAAGATAGACAAAAAACCATTCGATGTCTAAATAGAAGTACATAGCACATAACATCGAGAAGTACAATCGAGAATCGAGTGAATGATAGCCAAATGCCTATTGTCGAATAAAAAACTAAGGAATTAGAGTTATACGAGGTCAAGGTTAAAAAAGAATCGTAAGCAATTTGGAGTTCTCGAAAACACAAAATCGAAAGTGAAGAAAGCCAACCTACGTGGACATCGAGACTTTGGCCAAACCGTGAAAGGAAGAATAGTCAAACGCACATATAGGAAGCAGTTTCTAAACCATGATAGAAGTCGAAGATCGTGAGAACGTGGGAAACTGTAGAAGATAAACTGCAACATGCACGTAGAACGTGGTGGCAGTTTTGTTAACTACTCCTGGAAGGCTTGAATGATGCCCTATAAATAGAGCAAAGGAGGAAGGAACAAGGGGGGCGAAATTGGCGAAATTGGCGAGAACGGAATCGAGTAGTGAAAAGTCTACCGGAGAAACGACGAACACCATGAAGCTTCGGCAATCTGGATTTCCTTGCTCACCGAGTACATTTACCGCTTTCTGTATTTTCCTTGGTAACTTACTTTGATGCAACTTAAATTCAGTCGTTTTATGTTTCTGTATTTTCGATTCCTGGTCATTTCAATTCAATGAAAGTTTAAATTTCCGCATTTAAGTTTCCCTGTCATTTACTTTTCTTGCAATCTCGATTTCCTGTCATTGACTTTTCTTGCAATCTCGATTTCCTGTCATTTACTCTTCTTGCAATCTCGATTTCCTGTCATTTACTTTTCTTACAATCCCGATTTCCCATCATTTATATTTACACCGTTTTCGATTTCTTATCATTTGCAATTAATGTAAATTTGGGGTTTTCGCACTTTACATTTCCTCGCAATTTAATATTCTATTTCTCGATTCGATACTTTTACTGCTTCGGTATTTTAAATATAAAATACTAAAAAATAGCACTTTCGATATCCTGTCCGATTCTCATACACGTTTTCGATTGAAAGTCATACTGCTAGCCTAAGTAAAAAGAACTTACGTAGGAGGATTTTGATTAGGACCAAAACCCCTTTAGAACCGAAATCGATCGAAATTCCACCAGAAACAAATTGGCGCGCCAGGTAGGGGACTTTTGTATAGAGAAACACAAAATTGGTTAGTTCGAGAGTGTATGAGATTAAGGAGTGGGAGAGTCATGAGTCAGAGTTCATCAAGTAACCAGAGTAACATTGAGGGATCAAATGGGTCACACCCCTCAAATACTGGGGGGCAAAGTCATAATGGGAATATGCCTGTAACATCGACGACTACAAGTATGTCGATACCTGTGGGTAACGAGCTAAATTCAGGTACCTTAACAAACACCCAAGTAGGATCTAATACGGTGGCACTAAACAGTATGCAAACTATGGGAAACCCTATAACAACAAATGCTGGGCCGTATATGAGTGTAAGACCACCTGGGTTTTCGCTTAACATGAATGGGGTTGGTACTTCTTCGATGCAACGAAATTCGAGATATAACTTAGGAACATTCCAAACCCTAGGTATGCCACAGAATTTTGGAGCATCTCCAAACCTAGGAACATCTCAAAATTTAGTAATTCCCCAGAACTCAGGGAGTGTGCAGAATGTAGGAACGCAGCAAATACCTCCAAATCTAGATCATAGAGGAAACTAAGACCATGGGAGATATGCGTTCGATAGGGATTATCATCGATCTAATTTTGATACTATCGAAAATACTGGTACTGGAATATCTAGTAACTCCTTAGGAATACTTAGACAACAAATGGATGAGAGTAATTTTGAGATGGTGAATATGTTATCTCAACAGTTGACTACAGTCCTAAATCCATTAGTTCAAAACACTACAGCTAGTTTTGAGATATTAGCAGATCAAATGTCACGAATCGGGGATGCATTGGCTGTACCTCGACGAACAAGGGTAGAAGATCATGCTAACCAAAATTCTAATATCAATCCCCCATATCTGTTAAGGAGAAATCGAAACAATGATCAACAAATAGGGAATGAATACCAACATGGGAGAAATGATATTTATGGAAATATGAATGAGGGATTTCAAAATATGTATAATCAAAATAACATGCAAAATAATCACATGTTAGGACAAAGGATGAATTTCCAAGGGATAGAACTTAGACCACCCAACCAAACATACTTTGTGTCTCCTTTTCCAAACACGATTCTCGAGACGGAATTACCTCGAGGATACAAAGTACCTAAATTCACCAAATTTGCTGGAGAAGTTGGTGAATCAACTATCGAGCATGTAGCTCGATATCAGATCGAATGTGGAGATCTCGCGATGAGTGAAGAATTAAAAATGAAATATTTCCCTAGTTCTTTGACTAAAAATGCTTTTACTTGGTTTACTTCGTTGCCACCTAATTCGATATATAATTGGCTGCAACTGGAAAGAAATTTTCATGAGCAATTCTTTAGAGGAGAAACTCAAGTAAGTCTCATCGACTTGATGAATATAAAGAGATACAATCATGAAAGCATAGATGATTATTTGAATCGATTTAGACAAATGAAATTGAGATGCTTTACTCAAATTCCTGAATATGAATTAGTCAGAATGGCCTCTGCAGGCTTAGAATTCTCGATTAGGAAAAAGTTAGTTAATTTACCATTGAATGATATGGCTCAGTTAGCTGATAAAGTGAGAAGAGTAGAACAAATTGAATATGAAAAACAAAGATATAAGAAATTTGAGAAACCGATGAAGAAAGAAAGAATAGCATATGTAAATGATGTGTATGAAACAGATCCAACGACAGAGAATGATATAGAAGAGACTGTCGATGAGAAAGTAAATATAGCAGAGCTCAAAGCAGGAGCTCCATATATTTGTAAATTGCTACAAATGAATGAAGTAAAAGATAAGATGGCAAATCGAACATATACTTTCGATGTGACAAAGGCTGATAAAATCTTTGATATTTTATTAAAAGACAAACAAATTAAGTTGAGTGAAGATCATAAACTGCCTACGGCAGAACAAAGGAATGGTCGAAAATATTGTAAATTTCATAATGTTTTTGGACATTGGACTAACAATTTTATACATTTCAGGAATACGATCCAAGATGCGATTGACCAAGGAAGACTGAAATTTGAAGAAATGTCGATGAAAGTGGACACGAGTCCATTCGAAGTGCAAGTGGGATACATTGAATCCCACACGGGCATGACTGAGGATGTCCGAATGACGAATTCTACCTTTGTAGGCATGGTCGATGTTACTGAAGACATTGATCCTAAACATGTTAGAATGGACGTATCTGAAGAAGATATGAAATTCGATCTGAGTGAATTCGAGAAAGAGTTCGAAAAGGAGATATACCCTCGGTCAGGAGATTCCCTCATTGAGTTTTTGAATAGAAAGAAAGAAAAAGACGAAGAGGTGTCGTTATGCCCACGATGCAGTGCGGTATTCGATAAATCGGCTGCCAAAGCTTTCAGATTAGAACAGATAAAGAAGATCGAGAGTCAGAATAAAAGGAAAAATGACAAAGTGGATCAAACGGCCCGACCAGCGATCGAAGAAAGTCAACAGAAATCCGTTGGTTCTGGTGTTAGCGGAAATCAAAGGCAATGGGTCAGAAGAGAGATGTATCCTTCTCGAGGAGGAAGAGGCAGACTTCAGAGCAATGATGTCTTCGAGAGATTGTCATACGACGAAGGATCGAACATTGGATTTCCAACATTCCAAAGGAGATTTCGAGGAAGACCCTGGAGAAGAGGAGGAAGGATCCCTTATTGGAATAATTATAGAAACTTTGAAGAGAATATTGTACCAATGGAGAGTCAATATGCAAGAGAATTCTTCGATGATAAGAATGAGGGTACTTGGGATGAGCATCAAATCATAGTGATATCGATACTACCGGCAGAATATGTTAGTGAATATCAAGTGTACCAAGAACAGAGTGATGCCAATCGAGAAGATGACTTCTACTCAGAAAACGTAAAGCCAAAGGTAACATGGGTTACACAAACATCATGTGAAGTACCTCATAGAGATGCTGCCTTTATTGATCCTCCATCTGAGGAAATGAGGTTCCATCTGAAACCCTTATTATTGAATATCGAGATTCAAGGACAGATGGTGAATAGGGTCCTTGTCGATGGTGGAGCAGCGGTAAACATACTGCCAATTAATATGCTAAAGAAATTTGGCATTGAACTGAAAGACTTAGTCAAGCATAACATAATGATTTCCGATTTCAGTGGAAAAACATCAAGTTCAGAAGGCATGATTGCCTTGGATGTGAAAGTGGGCACTTATTCGAGGCCTACTGTATTCGTTGTGGTCCAATCACATGCCAACTTTAATGCATTACTTGGCAGAGAGTGGATTCATGGAGTAGGAGCCGTGCC